AGATATGTTTTACATTTCTCCAGTAATTAAAACTCTCCATTAGTATTTTTTTCTGAAAACAATTTATAAAGCTGTAAACTTCTTTGCAGGCTTCTGAAAAGATTAGCTACTGTCACATCTTATTATGTATATTTGCTGTTTTATGGCAAAAATATGATTTGTTTACATTTCAGAAATGTAGTCTATCACATTCTGTGTGTTCTCTTTTTAAACTTTCAATTTTATCGGCATTCTAAAGCATACTTGTTAAAATACATTTGATAAGTGTATAAGGTATTTTCTCCCTTTTTCCAGCAGGCCTTCGTGGTGTAACGGTAGCACACTCAGCACATATTTGAGAGGTTCAGGTTCGAGTTCCAATGAGGGCATTGCACATTTTTCACGCCTCCTGCTTCAAAAAAATCTACAGTGGCACCTGAACTAAAAGGTGGTAGACAATAATTCGTCACCACCAGCATTTGGCAATTATGTTCCCTAATCCCCAATTGACCTTAAAGGGGGAGTAGATGAGGTATTTTCTCCTTCCTTTCAGCATGCCTTCATGGTGTAAAGGTAGCACTCTCGTCGCGTATTTGAAGGGTCCGGGTTTGAGTTCCAGCGAGGGCATTGCAAATTTTTCACATTTCCTGCTTAAAAAAAAAAAAAAAAAAAAAAAAAAAAAAAAAAAAACACCTAATAACTGCAAGTTTTTCACTGTTATTAACTAACTGTACTGAATTAGTATTCTGAATTAGTAACTGTACTGCTATGATGATATAATAAGAGATGGCTTGTGTGCTTGTTATATAGAGACCTGTAAACTGTCTGTGACACTCTTTTGAATTTTTTCTTTGTCTCCTTTAACCTTTCTCAATGTATTTTGATGATATTAATATTTTAATTTTTTCTTCTTCCGATATGATGTCAATATTTAGCTGTTATTCAGCGAAATTCAGGTGCAAGTTCATTCTATAAACTTCTTTTCTTCCATTATTTTCAGAAAAATGGAGGAAAGAAAAACTGGCACCCTTTTGAATGTACAGCTGTTTTTCCTTTTTATTTTATTGTTTTGGTTTACTAGCTTTAAATGTTCAAACTTCATTGACGTCATTATGTGTTTTGCACTATTGAAAGTGACATAAATGTTTATTGAGTCAAAAAAGGGAGGCGAAAATTGGTAAAATGTACAAGAATAGAAACAGTAGTATACTTTATTAAAATTAATTTATAATGGCAAAATAAGTAGTATAAATTTACTGAAAAATATTCTATTACTGATTATGCAGTTTGCATACCAAATCCAGAATATATGACAGCTAATTTAAATATACTGGTCAAATGAGATATTTGGAATATCAGATGTTACACCTACATGTAAACAATACTTAATGACTTGACTTTGATTACATATGGTCATGTGACAGAGCCTTAAAACAGAAAACTTAGAAATAGCAGTAAGGATTTTTTTTTAACCATAACTGTATTTCTGTTGTCATTCTTCTATGATTCTCGGAAAAAAAAACAACTGTTACTCAAATGGGCTTTCACCTCATCACTTGTAGAATCACATATATGAGATTTATGAATTACAGCTTTTCTTATGAGTTTTATAATCTAACCAGAGCCTAGTGGAGACTAGCTCCTAGTCCAAAATCAAAGGTTCTGGTTCGACTCCCACAAAAGACTTAGCTGTAGTTGTGTTGTCTTCATTTTCTCCTGTTTGTGGGTGTAATACTTGGCTGTGTGTCCCCTGTAGAATACCATGGGCAACATTGGGTTCAGCTGCTCCTGATGAATGTTTATTGAGCAAATATCCTCTGTTTAAAGATGTGCCAGCCTTCAGTGTAGATATTTTTTTTTTCTTAAGCTTATAGTTCTTATGTGCTTTGCCTTAACCAATTAACCAACTATCAACATTTAAATATATATATACACTGGAGTAATAAATTAAGATAATTTTATAAATTTGATCTACGATCTCCAGAACTACTGGGTAGATTTTAATAAAATTTGGTGTGAACATAGGTTGATATAATACAAACAAATAAACAATAAACAGTTATACTAAACACACATGCTCGTGTGTAACACTCATGGGAGTCTGAAGGTCTGAAACAACGGTTGCAGAAGACACAAAAGAAATGGATTAATAGGTGGTATGGTCCCTCGCAGCGTGATGTCATACTGGAAATAAGGCAGTTTATCAGTGCCTGTGGCATTTGGTCCCACTCATTCAGCAATGCTGTATTCAGTTCTTGGATGGTTCTCAGAGGGGGGTTGTGAAATGCAATTGCCCTCCCCAGAGTGCCCGAATATGCTCTATAGGGTTGAGGTCTGAAGACCTGGCTGGCCAATCCATCTGGTGAATATCCTCACTCTCGAGAAATTCACCGACTAGAAGAGCTCTATGTGGCCTCACGTTATCATCCTGTAAGAGGAACTCGGGGGCCCACTGCACCCCAGAAAAGGCAAACATAGGGCTTCAAGACCTCATCCCTATACCTCACACCAGTCACAGACCTCTGCCAAAAATATTGAGAGGTGTGCGGCCATTCAACATGATGCCTGCCCAGACCATTACACCGCCATTGCCATAATTAATGATTTTGCAGACTTTGGAGTGTAGGTAGCGGGTTCCTGGCTCTCTCCATATGAAAGTACGGCGAGAATCTGTGTTTATGCTAAAACAGGACTCGTCGGTGAACAGAAAGGCCGCCCATTGCTCCATACTCCAATCACTATGCTGCCTGCACCATGCTAATCGGATTCTCCTGTTCTAGACGTGAGCGGGGACACAAACAGCCGGTCATCTGGAAAACAACCTTCTCTCATTCAGTCTTTTGGAAACAGTCACTCTTGTTACGGGGGTTCCTGTGGCTGCATACAGGTCCCGAGAGAGCTGAGAAGCTGTAGCCTCTCTGTTACGCCTCGCTAAAATGAACAAATAGTGATCTTCTCTGGTCGTCGTGGCTCTTGAACAACCTTGCCCAGGCTTTCTCTCGATGGATCCAGTATCCTGGAACTATTTCCATAGGTTACACACAACGCTGGGCGCTAAATTACACACGATGCTGGACGCTGAGCATTAAACTCTCTGCATATCTGGACTTGTGATTTGCCTGCCTCTAGCCTCCCCACAACTCGCCACCTCATTTCATCATCTAAACGTTGGTGGTTACTCATTTTTACTGTTTTGATGTGAATTTAACCGATTGCTGCAAGGGAACACCAAGAAATTCGTCAAGGTGTGCTATAGAACGTGATTCATCTTACCATCCACGTGCTTATAAAGCCTGTTTTTCTACTGGCTCCGCATACACACACGTGTACGCTTATGTATTTGCCGTACAAGATTTGCATTTTTATCTAGAAGCTGTGGTTTTTCCTTCAGTTCAGTTCTTTTCATGCAATTCGATAAAATATGCAAATTCTCTCAATTTATTTCACCAATGTATATAATCTACTCAATCTAAAAATAGAGTGATAAAAAATTAGCCACTAAAATATTATAGTTAAGCCATTAAAAGCATGGTTATAATTTATATATATGGACATTTTCTAGAATTTCAAAATGCTATTTTTTTTAAATCTTATGATTAGTTCCGAGGGGAAAAATATCATAAAATAAACAAATAAATGCATGCAGACTCTTTAATTTGCATACAGTTGTTCATGTATGAATTTCATTCATTTATATTTTTTATTAGTTGTGGTTAGCAACATATTTACTGTCATTCAGGTGTTTGTTCACTCTTTTACAACAGTTCACATAGAATGATATTTTGTGTTCATTTTATCAATATGAACTAAGTTATTCCAAAGGTAAAAAGTAATGAAAATATTGAAAGTTTAATTAATAATCAAAATAATTATATAGTTTAAACAGTTACACATAGTGAATGAAAGTATCAAAAAGTGATTGTAAAAATTGCAGTTTGCATACCAAATACAGATTATTGCAGGAAAGATTTTTCTCTTGTATAAATACATCGAAGGAATTAATAAGTACTAAATCAGGTAAAGCACAAACAATTTCATAACTTTATTTGAAAGCATAAATTGCAAATTTGTTGAAGTGCAGAGAAAGCACTTTCATTACATGAGTGAAATTATCCATGTTAATTAAAAGTGTTATAAATTGGATAAAAAAGTGCAAATGATTCTTGCTCGTCATTTAAAAAATAGCCACAAATTTAATGGAAACTGATGATTGAAAACTTACTCTTGTATTTGGCAATGTATATGTGTCAATGTAGTGCTATTTTAGCGACATTCTGAAATTTAAAAGAGCTACCAAATTTTATAAGTTCACTTTTAGTGATAAAAAACTTCATATGTAATAATTTTTATTTGTTAATCAAATGTTTAAATCTGTTTCTTGAAAGGTTGGTAACATAGGAAAAGGGACATAAGATTTTTTTATTCCATCATCCAATGCACTGTTGATCAGAGTTGCAGATGTGAGCTTAGATAAATTTTGTGGAATTTCCTTAAAGGATCCATCCACTCTAATTGTCTCTCTCTATTATTATTATTATTATTATTATTATTATTATTATTATTTTAATTTTGAGTTTGAATTTAGGTATGTTCATTTAAGACACTGCAGTTTCACTGTTCGTGTTATGTGCTGTGTAATATAAAAGTGCATTACAGGATTTTGCTGCTTTCATATGGAAGCTATGTCAACACAGTGGTCTTGTTTTAAAATATTTTGATATCAAAATTTTATTGCAGCCTTTCGAAACTGAACTGAATTTGCCATTTGCCAGTTCAATTAAAAAAATTTCCCCTTGCAGTATACTTGAAGTATTAGACATATTTTCATGTATATAATAAATGGTGGTAGGAGTAGATTTTAGAGGAATTTAAATTGGTGTATTATATACAAAACTGATGGATATGATATAGTTTTAAGTTAATAAATATTTTCTTAATAGGAATTTTGCATTATATAATTTTCACGTATTTGCTTTGGTCATTTATAGCTGAGTATTTTTTTTTCATTTAATCTTTTTTAGATTCTGTTGCAGTTTAAAAGCATGCTAAATGCTTTGTGATTGAAATAATGCGTTTTAATTCTAAAGAAATATTAGCTGTGGCCTCACAGCCATCTTATAAATTTGACAAGGAAGGAATATTATTTATTAGAGAAAAGCATGATAGCTTATTCAGGAGAAATGATGGTAAGTTTTATATGATTTGTACTTTTATCTGACATCTATATTCTTCATGTGTTTTCATATGCTCCATTATTAATTAATATATGGTACAGTATACCCTTGTCGAACGCAGGGGTTTCATCAGTAGAACATTGTGCATATGGCAAAATTGCATTCTGCACAGTTAATATTGTATGGAAAAAATGGATTAGGTATAGTTCAGATTAAGAAACTATATACAATTTAAATAAACATAATTATTTATTTGACTGAAAGGGAAAAATGAAACAAATGTTAATTGAAAGGGTTTCTGTTACTGTTTAATAAGTAGGTACATGATACAATTTTATTTTTAAATAGCTGGTGATTTTTACTTGGGACAGCATCTGACACAATTCATTTAATGTTTTGTGGTAAGGTATGCAAAGTTTTTCAGTATCTGTCATAAAGTGACCTCTTTTTTCTTTGTTTGTGTCAGCCTGTGTTACAAAATCAGACAGTTCCTGTGCCTTTCTTATCATTTAGTTTAACTTTTTGTTCATTAAAGGCTTTTTAATCTGCCTCACTATTGCTGCTTTCACCATTGGCTTGTATTATAAGATCATCCAGTTCATCATTTGTCATTTCATGATCATCATTCTCAACTAATTCTTTGATTTCCCCATCTTCCATATCTGAAAATCTTTTACTGCATATTAAATGCATTTCATTTTCACACAGTGTCTTATGTTGAACTGCTTCTAAAATGCCATTAAAGTATCATGCTTTTCTTCATCTAGTGTTTATTTGCAGAAATGTAAATGAATGTTTTTATGATTTCTTGATCCATTGATTGTATTAGTTTGTTTATTTGATTATGACAAAGCATACATAGGTTATCTGCCTATGGGAGGGAAGCTTTTATGGAAGACATTTTAAGGGAAATGGTCTTATATACACATTAAACATGGGGAAAACCATGAAAACACCCATTCAGCCATCTAATGTTTTATTTGCAGAGATGTAAATGCAATAGATTTTAAATGTTTGTATGATTTCTTGATCTATTGATTGTATTAGTTTGGTTTATTTGATTACGATAACACATATGAGAGTTATCTGCCTATGGGAAGGGATGCCTTTATGGAAAACTTTTTAATGGAAGCTGTCTTGTATACACATTACACATGAGGTAAACCATGAAAACACCCATACAGCCAGCCCATTAGCCAGGATTCGAATCTCCGACCGAGCAACTTACCACTCAACAGCTGATGTGCCCACAATGCATGTTAAAGTAAGGAAGTGGTTTTACATTTGAAGGAATAAAAGCTTTACATTTGGATGCAGTATTATGAGGGCTTCATCACCATGTCCTGGAGCATTATTGAGAATTAGGAGAGTAATTAAAGCCCAGATTTTGCTAGTCTAATTAATGTTTGATTTGTTAAAATGAAGGAATTTTCAAACCAGTCCTTAAAGAGGGCTATTGAAACATGGCCCTCTTTAATGACTGGTTTGAAAACTGGTTTGACTGCAGTGTACTACATATAACTGAAATTCATGTGTTGGACAAATTAAATGGTGATAATTAAAATTAAGCATATATGCAAAATTATATTCTGCAAGTCTGTGTTCGGCAAGGGTTTACGATACATATACTTGTTCTGTTAAATATTGAATTTTTGTTTACAATTTATAAAACAAAGAAATAAATTTAAAATGATTATAAAGGAAATAAATGTATATTTGTTTAATAATAAGACTAAAGTGGCTAAATTAACATATTCAAAATACATAATAAAATCAAGCTAAAGATTTTTATACTTAGTTCTTAAGCTTGGCTTGCTTTAACTAAAAGGTTCAAGAATAGCTGCATACTTTGCCAGATGCTATTTCAAATCACAAAGTAAACTTAAGTGAATCTTATTATCTTACCAATTATTGAAGACAGGCCTAGTGAATACCAGTCTTTTTAAACATTTCTGTTGAGTGATATCGATTAGCAAGTTGTGATTTTAAAAGGTATTAGCACTTTTTGAAGAATATGTTTTCATACATGTTAATTTTTTAAATACATTATGTTTTACATATGAAAGGCAGGAAGGATATTAAGCTGGTATGGACTGAAACAGCCACATCTGATTTTCAGATGTTTTTACTCAATTTTTTAGGGTATTAATCAAATTTATCATTATATTTAGTAAATTAATAAAGAAAATACACGTATATTCATAATTTTAAGGCATACAGACTCTAAGTATGCCAGAATGGTGTTTATTGCGTTTTTACAATTAGTTAGTAACTGGTTGTAAATAATTTGAAAACCAATCCGCTGCCGAAGTAAACAAAAGCTGCCTGTACAGTTAGCACAGTGATGGGCAGTAAACTGATTATAAATAATTCAATAACCAGGTAGCTGCCTAAATAAACAATAATTTGCTATGCTAACTAGTTAATTATTTACTGCCTAAATATATATTATAGTTTAATTTTAACAACTGGTTCTCAGACTAAACGCATTTAAGAAACACTTGCACTGAACCACTGCAAAGCAGTTGAATCCCACCATTGAATCAGCATTAAGCTGTAAGCAGAGAAGTATTTAATATATAGCTTTTTAATTTTATTTAGAACCTTATATTTTATTTTGAGCCTTAGCTTTAGATTTATTTTGAATTTTAGCAATCAACTGGTGACAAATCTAAATGTGCTGAATTACATATATTTTCCCTTTGTCATCAAGGCAAATGTTTATAGTTTTTCTTTTTCCTCTTCATTTCAATTTAGAAGTTGAAAAACTGTACTTTTCAATGAACTTTAGAAGTTGAAAAACTTTATTGTTCAGTGTCATTCTTGCTTAATTTTCTAGATTTCATTAAAGAGACAGATACACACACACACGCATGCACACACGCACATACAAAAAAAGGGGGCGAAGAAAAAAATATTGCCTCCATTAAATTAGTTTTAAAATATTTTAAATCTGGGCATAAACATGGACTTAGTATGTATGATTATTTGGAATTCCAGACTGCTGAATTTTTACAATAAATTTACATATTAATTGCTCATAAATGGGAAGCAGAAAATATTTGGATATTATTACTGAAGCTAAATAATTTCTGTGATTGTGAAAACAAAATAACTAGGATTTTATCACAAGTAAAAATCCAAATAATCAGACTTTTTTCTTACATGTTGATTCTTAGAGAGGAAAAAAAATCTGTTAAGGTGGCATGGAAATAATTATTTTATAGTGAGGCATGTAATATATAGTATTAGAAGCATTTTTTTAAATTACAGCTATAATGAAAAGTTTTATAAAATTATCAATCAAATGTATGATAAATTATATCAATTAGGTGTATTATAAGCTATTTAAATTATATATATTATTAAAAACTAAGATATATGAATTATTAAGAAGCATGTATATTGCCTTATTAAACAGTGTGAAACTGTAAAAACTTTTCCTTTGTTTTCTGTTCCCAGTGACAGAAATAGCAAGGCATATAATGAGAAAATTCATTGAAGAATTTGATGGTATTCTTTATATTAAGCCCTCTTTGAGATAAGAACTGCATTTGGCAGTGATAAAATTAGTAAAAGAAGTCCGTGCCTGAAGCAAAGTACAAATGAAAAATTATGGTTATTTATCTGATCAAATTTTTTTTTGTATCTGTCCTTGCAATTTAATGCAACTGGTGGGATCAATCCCACCCACAAACTTCATATTAGGTGGGAGTCACAGGGCTCTATTTTGTATTAGGCAGGGGTTAGCAAGTTCAACAAGTAAAAAGGTAATTCACTGAACTGAAGCCTCTGCTAACCTCAACTCAAGCAAGGAGGCAGGCCACCTCAGCTCTTGATGGAAAAAGAGATATTCAAACTTATTGGTCATCTGCTGCATTGAGCCCACTTGGATGGATCTTTACTAGGAACACAGTTCTTGCATTTCATATCCCTAGTGTTGAGATTAAGAGATCGCAGTTCAGACAATACAATAAATAAGCAAATTTGATTTTAAACATTATAAATGTCAGTTTGAAATAAAACAAGTAATCAATTTATCAATAATGCTTATTGCAAATGTTGGATATGATACAGTGAATTTATATGAGTGCATTTAATACATGCAGATTTATTCATGCTTACTTAATTAAATATGATCTTGAATGCAGCAAAGCTTCACTTTATTAAATTTGAAACTGTTGATGAATTTCTGAGAGTTCCAGAATTATTTGGCAAACATACTATTATCGACAAAGTTAGAGCTATTGTGGTATTTTCTGATTTTCCACACCCTCCCTCCTGAAAAGTTTACAACTACTTTTCCCCCAAGCTAAGATGTGAAAGACTACAACAGATATTTTGTAAATGGTAGGTCACTAAATGTTATATAAAACAGCAACTACATAACAAAATTAAAAATGCAAGATACATCCATAATAAAACACTTACCTTTTTCTTTTATTTTTTTGGCTTTTTTTCCATGTACACAGTAGTCTGATTTAGCATTAAAAAATATCAGAGAATTGTAGGAACTTAGGTTTGCACACAACTTGGCACTGTATGTACTTTCGTTCTCTACATTTACACAGAAGTTAGTTTTTGCTTAAAAGAAAAACAGAGAATGACACAAATTTGGCATTGGACATGCTGTTGTTCTTCCACAGCGATCTGATTTCACAAAAAAAGAAAAAAATCAAAGAGTTGCACAAATTCAGCATTAGTCCGCAAATTTTGGTCCATAAAATTTGATCCTTTATGAAATACAACTTCATGGCATGCAAATTTTTGCATTCTGTACTGTTAAGCAAAATACCATATTTCAGAAGAAATGCAGGACATTCCTTTTCATCAGCTTGTAAACTCCAAAGTCTCATTACGATTCCTTATGAGAAATTAAAATGCAGGCAATGCAGCAAAAATAAATACTTATGAGTGACATATGTGCCCTTATCTGAGTTGCCTTAAATACACATTTTGGCGATATCATGGGTTGCCTATTTTGATGACATGACAAGTTGCCTCATGAGTGC